GATTGGAAAATTTACTCCACTCACACGATAACAAAACCCGCGCAAACGTCTTGCCGCAATCAAATTTGCCAAAGCTTGATCCTCAAACGCAACGTAGCAGCTAACGCATATTTCTTACCTTCTTACTCTAAAGAAATAGTTCTCTGTCACACGCAGAACGCGACGTTGCCGCTTTGTGTTTGCGTACCTATATGTCAGTTTAGGCTCTGGATCCACTTAGCCTAGGTAAATGTCGCATATAAGTTAAATATATTCTGGATGTAAGAAATCGTATTCAGTATGATTTTTTCGACCGTTGATGGACCAACAAATATTGGTCAAATCGCTGACGAGTATGTTGAAAATTAGTAACCACAGATCCACCGACGTCACACGCGCATCAAGGATTGATCAAAGTATATTATTTTGCGCGACGCAGAGCTGAGTATATACGTAAAATAGGTGGATCAATATTTGTTCTAACTTCTCACTGGAGCAACATTTACCGTGAAAGGTTCAATATATATATATATATATATATATATATATATATATATATATATATATATATATAATGGCTTATTGTATATATTTTATATTGTATATATTTATTTAGATGTTGTCATTAGCATATACGGTACGGTGAGATACCTAGTACCTAAATATATAAGGATTTAGGCTGGTTTCAGTCACGCCGTTAGACATGGCGTCGAAGAGCGAGCGTATCAATCAACCACGGTTTTTACGAAGTTTCAACAGAGCGCGCTTGAACAGCGTGAATATTATCGACTACTATCTAGTGCATTTGCAAGCGTGTGCGTCTGGACGGCGCTGTTCAAATGCGTGACTATGAAACCAGCCTTACCGTCTTAGTACCTAATTTGTAGTATAAGTTGTTTTTACACCTACATTAATTTATTATGTTTGAATTAGAAATAAAACACAGATTAATTTCATGTTTATTGTTCATCTTCTAAATTGGGAATTAGAATATTGTCTAAAAACTGTGCAGTGATGTCAATATTATTTTGATGATCTCGTAAAGCTCAAGTACCAAATGATGGTCATAACATGGGCGCAGCAACCGATGGTTCTGCGTACAACGATGCAATTACAGCAATATTGCACGATTGCTTCTCTGTTTTTTAATTTTATTCGAAATAAAATGTTTGTTTTAATTTTATTCGAAATAAATTCAAAATGTATTTCATTAAATTCAAGAATCGATTACAATCGATTGGGCTTCCCTAATCATTTTTCGAAACAACATGATGTTTGGCGAAGATGGCGGCGATTAATGTTATTAGTCGAGTAGAAGACTTTTTAATGGGGGGTTTACACGGGTCGTTTTTCGCCGTGCGGCGAGTCGCTTCACTAATTGCCTCAAAAAGCCGCATCGCTAGCCCATTTACACAGATTACTAAAATCGCATGCGGCTCTGTCATTTCCATCGAAAATGTTGAGCAGAATAGCCGTTTGTGCCGGAATTGAAATAATTAATTATTCAATTATTCAACAATTGCTTAAAGAACAAAGAGAGAAGAAAAAACAAAAGGAAAGAAGAAAACGTAATATTTGGGTACGTGGATGGATTTCTCGACGTAAGGACTTGGGTGCTTCGGATACTTTATTGGTTGAGTGGAGTTTAGAAGATCCTGATTATTTTAAAAAACGATTAAGGGTCCGTTCACACAGACCGGCTCGGAGAGCATCGGCCTGCTTTTTTCTTTTCACACAGACCGGGTCGTATACGCTTGGAATTGGCCGGAGCGGAGCCGCCAACTATTTCACATCGACCGGCTGGAAGAGATCTGAAAGCGGGTGCGGTTGGATGTGCTCGGAGCCGGTCGGATGCGCTCGGAGTCGGGTGGATACACTACAAAGGCAGTGCCAGTATTCCGCGCAGTCTAAGTTTTGTTTTCGGTGTGTTAACGTGTGCTTTTCGAAACATGGATTTAGATAGCTCCGACGAAGAAATATATTTGTTAGCAAGATTACTTGAAATAGAACATAGGAAACGTAAGCGCAAGCGGAAACAAATATGGGTAAAACATATTTGGAAAAACAGACTAATCCATGGGGAGTTTCACACCATTTTCGAGGAATTGAAGAGAGATAGCCTAAAATTTTATGAGTATTATCGTATGGAATATTGGCAATTTTTGAAATTGACAGATTTGTTAAGAGTACATATAACAAAAAAGACTACAAATTATCGTTGCACCATTACAGCCGAAGAAAGGTTAACGGTAACTTTAAGGTAAATAAAAAACAATTATTTATACTAATCATGTTATTTAGATCACAAAATCACAGCCCTCCATTTATTAAGCATTGTTTACGTTAATGAAATGTAAATTACTTATACTAATCATGTTAAATAACACAAACATCTAAATAGATCACAAAATCACAGCCCTCCATTTATTAAGCATTATTTACGTTAATGAAATGTAATTAAATAGTACAGATTTGTGTGTGTTTAATTATTATTATTATAATTATTATTGTTTTTGATTGTTTATTATTTTGTATTTTGTGTGCTGGTATTGTACCCGTAAGTAGTCTGATCTGGATAGTTTTGAGGAATATAGGTTTCGTTTGACACTAGGTAAGTAGATTGATTAGTCGATGGCGGTGAATTTATAGACAAAGAATAATTCAAATCTGTACTATTTTCATACAGACTTAATTCAGCTTCATTAACAATGTTAAACACGCGCCTTTTAATTCGTGCTTGGACTTCTTTTGGGAATGTTTCCACTGTATCTGACATAGACAAAAAAAAATTACGTAATGCCTTGTCACGGGGTGTAGTATTTCTTTTTTCTTCAAGATACTCTTCGAAAACCGTAGCAACATCTTTGCTTAAGCGTGGTCTCTTTTTCGAGCCAGAAGTACTTGCAAGCGATTCAACTTCAGAATGGTCAGAACGTTTAGATGATGTCGATGGTGGTGGTATTGGTGTGCCAGGCTCTGAATCATCCGATGATAATGTTACATTAGATATTTGGTTTCGATTGCGAAAAAATGGTATTATAAAAGAAAGATCTTTTTCAAATTTTATCAATTTGGACGTAGTTGCACCATCGCCACTCTTGCCTTTTCGGTTATAATAGGCTTTTCTGAAGTTATCTCGCAGTTTCTTCCAACGATCCTGGCACTGCGTCACTGGAAAGAACAGAAATGAAAAATTAATAACATAACTCTTTTTTATTTTATAGTTCGTTTTGGTACGGCAGTCTTATATTTCTATTTTGTGTGTTTGTTTTATTTTTACAGATTCCTCATCACTGGTTGCAGTTTCAAAAACTTGTCATTTAATTTTCGAATGGGAATTTCTACAGTTCATTCAATTATTCATGAGACAATCAGAGTAATTTGTGATGTTTTGATGCCCATAGTTATGCAGATGCCAGATGAAGAAATGTGGGAAAAGGTTTCACGTGATTTCTTTAATATTTGGAATTTTCCTAACTGTTTGGGCGCTATAGACGGAAAGCATGTCAATATACAGGCACCAGATAATAGTGGAAGCTTATACTATAATTATAAAAACTTTTTCAGTACAGTGTTACTAGCTGTGGTCGACGCGAAATACAGTTTTTTAATTGTTGATGTCGGATCATATGGTAAAAATAGCGACGGCGGAATTTTACAGAATTCAAAATTTTGGAAAAAACTCAACACCAATAAGTTAAAGCTGCCCCCAAATAAACCTCTACCTAGTACCACTGAAAGCTTACCACATGTTTTTATAGGAGACGAGGCATTTCCTTTGAGCAATAATATATTGCGGCCGTATCCAAGAGAACAAGCAAGAACAGAATTATCAAAAAAAGTATTTAATCTGCGTTTAAGCAGGGCAAGAAAAGTCGTAGAATGTGCATTTGGAATGCTAACTCAAAGATTTGAAATTTATCAAAAACGAATGAAAATTCAGCCGAAGTACTGTGATTTAATTATATTAGCAACTACATGTTTACATAATTTTTTAATAGAAAATCGGACGCCAGGACAAGAGAATGAATTTCACAGCAATATAAATTTATTAACAGCAATAACAGACAATAATAATGAAAACAGTTCTAATAGCGACGCAGTTCTAACCACAAGGAATAAATTTAAGGATTATTTTTCATCAAGTGGTGCTTTAGATTGGCAAGATCAAGTGGCTACGCGAGTTTCTTAAGTTATATTTAATAAAAATTGTCTACTACATAAGTATATTCTAACGATCAGATACTCAAACGAGTTTTTAAAGTAAGGGCGCATTTAAACTCATGTTATTCCTATTTTGACTTTGAATCTAACACGTCGCAGCACGAGTTTAAGAAGCCCTTGCTTTAAAATTCGTTTGAGTATCTGGGGGTAGGTGTAAAACAATGAAAACCTTACTTACCACTTATTCCGAGACATTTGCTAATTTCCTCCCATGCATTGTCTTTCATTATCCGATCGCTATATGATGGCTTGGTTATGTCAAATAAACACTCATATTTTGACACGAGTATTATTAATTTTTCATCATTCATCTTTTCGTACAAGTACGCACAACTATTACGTTCAAATGTTGCTATCAAAATGGCGGTCGGCGCGGCCGCAGCGGGCACGCAATCGGAGCCGATCGGCTACGCGATAGAGAAAGAGCACGCAATCGGAGCCCATCGGCTGCGCGAGCGAGAAAGAGCACGCAATCGGAGCCGACAGGCTGCGCAAGCGAGAAAGAGCACGCAATCAGAGCCGATCGGCTGCGCGAGCGAGAAAGAGCACGCAAGCGGAGCCGGTCGGCTCCTTTTATTACTTCACACGAAGCGCGTTCAGGCATTTTTAATGACAAAAAAGGTGCAAATGCAAAAATAAACTTTACTACAATCACTCAAAACACTGTTTCCAACGTGATAAAAATCTGCTCTCCTCTCCGAGCCGGTCTGTGTGAACGGACCCTAAGAATGACTACTGATCAGTTTAATACTTTACTACATAAGGTTACTCCGCTTATACAAAAATGCGATACCAATATGCGAGTAGCACTTTCTCCGAAAATTAAATTAGAAATAACCCTGAAGTTCTTGGCTACCGGTGATAACTATTCAAGTCTTGCAGAGTCATTTAGAGTTCCAGAATGCACAATTTCCTTGTTTTTGAAGGATGTTTTGGATGCTATATACATTGTTTTACAGGAGTTTATTATGGTAAGTGAAACTAGTAATTAATTATAAACGATTTATTTATAAATTTTCCATTGTGTTTTCATCTATAAGCATGACCTAACAGCTTGAGATAGAATATCGTCGTTCACTGCGTATTGTTGCCCAGTATTTTCTTGTGTTAATAAACAGCTGGCAAAATAGTCTTCTTCATAATCGAGGTGCCTTCTAGAAGTGGAAGCTTCGGGAGTCGAAGTTTCACGCTGGTTTTGAAAAGCTTGGTTTCGGCAAGTAGTAGCTTCGGCTTCTGGAGTCGAAGTATAGCGTGTATACTCTGAGAGTGAACTCGTATGTCTAGCAATTGGAAAAAGTTATGTATTTAAGGTTTTCAGTCTTTCTTGTGACAAATAATTATTAATGAAATTTTGACAAACAATAGCATTTCTTAATGGCAAACTACGTAATTGGCTTGCCACATGTACTCCGAATGTATCAAATTCATCTTGACGGATAGTTTGAGCCAAAGTTTCTAATCTATTGACTGCTTGTAAAACAGGTGGGTCCATTTTAGGTGCGTCCATTGGAGCACGCTCCGCCTTTTTCTTTGGAGACAATTTTTTTTTCTTTTGTAACGGCGCAATATTAGATTCTTGTTCCAATTCATCAAAATATGAAGATGCGTCGCTGTGTGTGTTCACCGCTGAATCTTTTCCCTGTAACCATACACTAATATAAGTTTATTTCTTTTAGGTGCCATCCACCACAGATCAATGGAAGAAAATACAAAAGGATTTTTTAGATCGCTGGCAATTTCCTTTTTGCTGTGGGGCTATTGACGGGAAACACGTATTAATCGAATATCCACCATACGGAGCATCAGACTATTATAATTACAAAGGCACTTATAGTGTGGTGTTGTTTGCTATAGTGGATGCACATTACAGTTTCATATATATAGATTTCGGAACTAATGGACGCATGAATGATTCGCATATTTGGAAAAAAACAAAGTTCTATAATGCTCTTGAAAGAAATAATTTAGAACTACCTAATAAGGCAGTTTTCGTTGGTGATGATGCTTTCCCTTTGGCAACCTATTTAATGAAACCGTATTCAAGACATGAAGGTTTGGAACACAAACAAAAAATCTTTAATTACAGACTATCAAGAAAGAGCACGCCGAATCGTAGAGAATGCCTTTGGCATAATGGCTTCACGATTCAGAGTATACAGAAAACCTATATCTGTTTCATTGGATAAAACTGATTCTATTATTAAAGCGACCTGTGCGCTGCATAAGCATAACTGGCTTCGGACTAATCTCATATACATGAATACTCCCGAATTAGTAGACGGAGAAGACTTCAGTTCAGGGACAATCAGAAACGGAAGTTGGAGAAGCATTCCTACGGCAGGAGTAGACGAATTAATGACACCGCTATCTTCTAATAACAATTCACGAAATGCAAAAGATCTGCGCGATAGATATGCTGACTATTTTGTCGGACCAGGAAAAGTTTCATGGCAAGATAGAATGATTGCGTAAATATTGTATGTTTATTTAAGTAATATTATAAAAATGGCCCTGTTCACAATTTACCTATTATAATTTATAATATGCGAACAAGAATAACTATTTAATAAATAATAATAAGACATACCATGGTATCTTTACTGTTTCTTCCTTCTATCACTGGCTTTAAAAAGCGGTCAGCTACAGAAAACCAAATTAATTGAGGTCTGTATACATCATCCTTTCCCGCGCTACTCTTCTTTGACTTTGCTACCTTACTGGCCTCTCTATTATACGTGGTTCGTATATTTTTTATCTTCAATTTAAGCTCTTCAACTGTTATGGACAAACGCATTTCTTGAAGTTATTCAAGAAATGCGTTTGTCCAGATTCCAGATTCCATTGTCCAGATTTAAGAGCCGCTAAACGTACATTATTGTTCCTGTAATCTTGTTCTCTTGGGTTCCATAAGCATGGATGCATTTCATAGCATTCCAAAAACTGTATGGTGTTATTTTTATTCATGGTTGTTACGATACATACACAGAAACGCTGCAGTAAATAAATACACGTGCGTGCGCGAAACACCTTCATGCGGCGGGCGATCGCCTGCAACTGATCGTTTACACGGTCGATTTTAGTCACCAGTCGCTTGCGGCCGGTTGCCGCGCGGTCAAAGTCGGATGCTACCCAACTTTGGGACTTGCGGCTTTAGTCACTTGCAACTTAGCCGAATTGCCATTTAGATGGTCGATTTACGCCGCGCGGCAAAAATCGTGCGGCTTTAGTCACCCGTGTAAACCCCCTATAATGTTCATTTTTGCATTCAGCTAGTCCGTGTTTTAAAAGTATTTGTAACTAACATAATAAAATAGAAAATTAATTGTCGTGTATGTCCGATGCTTTTCTTACACAGGGCGATTTTGGACATTGTCCTTTGTGCTTTAACTGTAACATCATAGTTCGTAGTTTTCTCTAATATTATTATAGTTTACCTTCATAATTTTGTTTATTATGTGACACTATGATGACATTAGCGATTAAATAAATCATAATGACAGCTAGTAATTTCTGTCATGCTGTCATTCGATTGCACATACTACCAGTCTTTTTGCCAGACAGGATCCATAAATAATATTTGTCTGTTTTATTATTGATGGTAAGACTGTCCTTTTTCTATATTTTTATTATATTAATTAGTCTTAAATAAGTTATGTAATTATAAAATTCTACCGATGCCACTGCCGGCAGGTATGAAAGAAATGTTTAGTTAAGTGCATAATTGTTGGCAATTTAATTTTAATTTAAATTTAATTACTGTTTCATAATATTTCATAACATATTATTATTTATTTTGTAGGTATTATATCCAGACTTATATAATATTTATTTTATTATACATTATACAAGTATATATTTAATCTTTATTGTTTTTGTTGTAGCTTAGTTTTTGTTATAGTTTTGATTAGCATGTGTGATATTAAGGAATTTGATGATAGTTACTTTTCTTGCTCTTCTTCTAGCTTTTCCGATAAGACCTATAAAAGCGCTTTAAGCGATGATTCCACTCATTTACATGATCAACTAGTAGCCGTATTCTGTAATTATAGTAAAAATCTTAATATAATCCATATTAACGCTCAAAGCATTCATGCTCATTACGCTGATCTTTTATCAACCTTTGATTCTAAATATGTTGATGCCATACTTGTTGCTGAGACTTTTCTAAAGCCTGCACTTCCGTCGGTACAGTATTGTCTCCCTGGTTTTCAACTTATACGCAATTACAGGGTCGGCAAAGGTTATGGTGGAGTGGCAATCTATTTGAGAGCTGACATTCCCTATAAAATAGTTGATCATTCACCCAATATATACTCAAATTTTGCTGAACATTTATTTATTGAAATTACTATTTATCATTCTAGGACTTTGCTTGGGGTCTATAATATTATCCCCCCTCTCGCAATATAAATTATTTTTCTTCTCTGGAAGAAAAACTTGTAAATCTTACTCCGCTTTATGATAATACCATTATTTTAGGTGACTTCACTTGCCTGTTAAAGAATGATTTTCGTAGCAAAAAATTTCTCTCTCTGGTATCATCTTTTAATTTACATATTCTTCCTCTTTCTGCTACTCACCATTCGCCTAATAGTACCCCTTCTCTTTTAGACCTTATTCTTGTATCTGATGCTGACCGGGTTGCTTCGCATTGTCAACTGTCTGCGTCTTTCTCTTACCACGATCTTATCTTCCTCTCCTATAAAATTCAACGTCCTAGGCGCAAATCGAAATTCTTATTCCTAAGAAGCTTTAAATCAATTAACCTGAAGCGTTTGAGAGATGATGTAAATAATATTGACTGGTCCCCTGTTCTAAATTCCGAAAATGTTAATGATAAGGTTTATGCTTTTAATCACCTCATTTTAAAACTCTTCGATACACAAGCACCACTTAAGCGAGTCAGGGTTAAACACTTTCCAGCCCCCTGGCTTTCAGAGTATAAAAGCAGTAATGTCCAAAAGAGATAAAGCTAAGAGGCGTTATAAGAAGCACCCTACTAATGAAAATTTATTCACTTATAAAAAACTACGTAATCGCTGTAGTAAGATGTGTCCTGATGCTAAGAGGAGACATATTTATGATGAGGTTGAAAATTCTCATTCCGCTCAGATGTGGAAATTTCTTGGGTATAGACAAATCATATAATGATTCTAATATCTCGTTTAATTTGACTGCACTCAACCGGCACTTTTCTGAGCCTCCGATTTCTATTGATGACTCTATTAAGTCTGCGACGCTTAATCTACTCTCCAATATTCCTAAGCCGCTGTGCTCTCCTTTTAATTTCAGTAAAATTACTGATGGTGAAATAAAAAAATACCTTTTATCTATTTCCACTAAAGCTATTGGCTATGATAATCTTTGTATGCAAATGATTAAACCTATCACTAATGAACTTGTCCCTATTTTCACTCACATTATCTCTTCGTCGCTTGAGACGAGCTCCTTTCCAACTTGCTGGAAAAAGGCATTCGTCATTCCCGTTCCAAAAACTTCTATTCCTACATCTTTATCCCAATTCCGCCCTATTTCTATTCTTCCGATCTTATCTAAAGTACTAGAAAATATAGTTCAGAGGCAACTATCTCATTTCCTAACTGTTCACAGCCTGCTGTGTCCTTTTCAATCTGGTTTTCGTCCAGGTCATAGCACAGTCAGCGCTCTGATTAAAGTGTCTGATGACATTCGCTGGGCCATGGACAAAAAATTTCTCACTGTTCTAACATTATTGGACTTCAGCAGTGCATTTAATTCCGTTGATTATGACATACTTCTTAGTATTCTTTCGTCCTTAAACATTTCACCATCAGTAATCGCTTGGTTTAATTCTTACCTTAGGGGTCGCTCGCAGTGTGTCCGCCATGAGGAGGATTTCTCCGAGTGGTGTGATCTTACGGCGGGTGTTCCTCAGGGTAGTGTTCTTTCCCCACTTCTCTTCTCTATTTTCATCAACACTCTCACTACTGTTCTCACCTCTCATTAGCATCTCTATGCTGACGACTTGCAATTATACCGTCATTTCAAAGTCCAAGATATAGATGAGGCTATTAATTAGCTGACTGCTGACTTAAGTAGCATAAGCAGTTGGGCAAAATCGTTTGGTCTTCTTGTTAATCCTGCTAAATCCCAAGTAATGATTATCGGCAGCTCATATATGCTTAATTTATTAGATCGTTCGAAGATCCCTGCAGTAACGTATGATAATACTCAAATGGCATATACAGAGACTGCTAAGAACTTAGGTGTTATTTTTGATAATAATTTGTCTTGGGTTGCTCACATTAATATGATTAGCAGAAAAGTGAACTACTCTTTCCAATCTCTCAAGCGCCTCCAGATGTTTTTACCGTTACAAACTAAGATAACCTTAGCTCAAGCACTTCTTCTTCCTCTCATTGACTACGCTGATGTTAGTTTTTTGGATGCTTCAGAGGAGCTGTTGAACAAACTGGAACGTGTTCAAAATTTGTGTATACGTTTTATTTTTGGGCTTCGTAAGTTTGATCATGTTTCAGAGTACAGGGCTCAATTAAAATGGCTTCCTATCTGTAGACGTCGAGACTTACATGTGTTATCATTTCTTTACTTTCTACTCTTTAATCCTCATGCACCTCCATATCTCCGCGAGCGTTTTGAGTATCTTGTACCTCGTGAAACTCAGTGCCGGACCACTAAACAGCTGCTTCTCAGAACTCCTTCTCATTTCACAAGCCGATGTGGTGGATCCTTTACTGTAAGGGCGGTCAAGCTATGGAACTCACTTCCACATGACATACTTGCTAGAAGAGCTAGCACGTATGTCATGTGGACGTGAGTTCTTGATACATTTCGGAGCAGAGTAAAGAAATATTATCTATCAACTTAGAATTACAAATATTTACGTATGTTATGTATTTATATGTATAATTGTATATATATGTATGTGTGTATATGTGTATGTGTGTGTGTGTATGTGTATATATGTATGTGTTTATTATCTTTATTAGTATATATGTATGTAAATCAATAGAAATAAGAAAATAAATTATATTTTATACACTTATTTGTTAATTGTTAACTGTAACTTTAGCCAATTTTTATTAAGTAGTGTTAAGTTAAATATTAAGTACGCACGCTGCTACCTGCTACTTGCTTTATATGTAAAACTATTTCGCTTTCCCAATAGGTTTGCTGGAAGAGAACTCTTATTAGGGTTATGCTCGCCTTTGTACATTTTATTTGAATATTTAATAATTTTTACCAACTTAGTGTGTGTACAATAAAGAATAAAGAATAAAGAATTTTTTACTTTTTAATTTTTATATATAATTTATTATTAAATAAATTCAAAAAAATCCTTTCAACTTAAAAAAAAATATTTTAAAATAACACTTACTACAAAGAAAAGGCATAATTAACCAAATGTGACCTTTCTTTCTAATATTTCAAGCAAATTGGTCATTGAGTCTAAAAGAAAGGGCACATTTGTC